TGAACGTTTCTGTATAACTTATTTATTATTTTTTTTTAGTACCGTATATTTTTTACAGCACTCGCAACTGCATAAGGTCATATGAGTGCCAAGGGGTGGATGTCAACAGAGAAGTCTTTACAGGGAATCCGGCTTACTCTGCTCACCTCTGCTTCGACTATCAAGGCAACCCGGAAATAGCGGGTCACAAGAGTGTGACATATATACAAAAAGAAGTAGAGGAAAAATGACGGTAGTAAGGATTAGGAAAGAAAAAGCAGTAGTTCCCTGTTGCAGTTCAGGCACAGTTATAAGCATGACATAGATGAATCAACCCGTTTATAATTCTACTGTGCATAAGAACATGTTAATGTCCTCCCTTTGGGAATGGCCTAAAGACACTTCAGTCAGTGGCACCGCCCCGGGGGGTGGCTTTGGCGTCCATTTTCTTGCTAATTTTACCTCTGAAACCAGGCAACCCTCACGTCCTTCAATTGTCAATACCAATATCTTGACTTGTATCCAAGATAAATGGATATTTTTCTCCTCAAAAGTGAGGCAAATGGACAGGCTTTAAGATGATACCAATAACTCCATTTGTCCAAAAATTTAGGAACGCCTGATTCCACAAAGTCGGGACTCATATTTCCCCAACACCTCAACCACAAACCAAACCACAGCGCCATCATGACACAGATATTTTTCCAACAAACCAAACCACACCCCATTTGTGAAAACCACAGCCCCATGGTGAGAGCCACAGCGCCCATCGTGAGAACCACAGCCCCATGGTGAGAGCCACAGCGCCCATGGTGAGAACCACAGCCCCATGGTGAGAACCACAGCGCCCATCGTGAGAACCACAGCCCCATGGTGAGAGCCACAGCGCCCATGGTGAGAACCACACCCCCATGGTGAGAACCACACCCCCATCACGAGAACCTACTTGTTGCCTCCGCTAGAGTTGAGCCCCTCCCCCGAGCGCGGCGAGATTCCGTTGTGAGAGACGGTCGACGTGATGGGGACAGGGAGGCCACTCTGTCTGACCGGCGCAGCGCTGCTGCCGGGTCCGTTGGCGACCACGGGCGTCTCCATCACAGGCTGATACTGGACCTGGACACAGGAAATACCACTTTTAGTTTAGATTAGTTTTAGTAAGACTTTTACGGCGCTCGCAACACAATAAAGTCATATAAGTGCCGAAGATTAGAGGCGTTACAAGAGAGTAACAAACACAAAAAAGAAGGAGGGGCGATAAGATAGATCTTTGATTGGAAAGAAGAAGCAAAACACACAAGAGCACCCGCCAACCACACACAAATACAACTATAGTTTTAGTAGAGGTTTTACAGCGCTCGCAACTGCATAAGGTCACATGAGTGCCAATTCTACAACTTTAGCTGATCCACAGAATGACAGGTTGTTCTAACATGCTAATATTATATGTACAGCACATATATATCAGGAAATGTAAAAATTTCTTCAACTTCAAAATGAAATTCTTGAACTGCGGAATCCCTCACCTGATGGGACCCTCCAAATCCCGGCCGCTGCCTCAGCGAGGCGCTGTGAGTCCTGCCATCATCGTGAGGCACCACTGAGCCGTGACTAGAGGCACTAAAGTTGTGCTGACGGAGGGAAAGTTGAGATGTGTGAGGAGGGTGGACCATTATACAGTGGGAACTTTGCAAAGTAATTCCTGCACTACAAAAAGCCAGGCAGATAGTCATAAGGAATTGGAAATTTACTCTACATATTAGCATTTAAACACATACAGTAGGCCTATGTGCTTGAAGGAAAGATATGGGGCAGGAGAGCCAGAGGAAGGCAAAGAATAACATAGATGGACAACATAAGAACATGGACTGGCCTGGATATGGCAGAATGTGCAACAGCAGCTCGCGACCGAGAAGGATGGAGGGTCATTACAGGTCAACCTCTGAGTCAGAGATGACACCTCCGGGTATCCAGGTAGTATGCCTATACCTAGCAGTCGACACAAGGGGGCTCACACAAACAAGTCCTTTAGGCTCAGGGGAGCTGGGCTCTATGGCTTACGACTTTTCACCTGCAAAACAATTCTATTGGGAAGGCAATTTTAAAAAAAGAGAGGTTTACTCTCTTGTGAGAGAAATGAGAGCCAAGTTTCCCCTGAGTAGGACAGCCTGTATATTTCCTAGGGAGTTGAGGTTGTTTCAGAATACTACCAAGTCTATGGGAGTAATAGCATAGATTGTGAAGTGCACAGAGCTTGCTGATGAGCCGGAGTTTGTGCTATACAAATGCAATCTATTATTATTATCTTATTATTATTATTATCATTATTTTAATCATTGTCATTATTATTATCATTATCATCATCATCGTTATTACTATTATCATTATCAGCATCATTATCGTTTCCCCACAGGAGTGTCTCACCATGCCTGACAGCGGCGGCCGCGTGTGTCCACTGGGTATCTCAAAGGTCCCGTGTTGTACCTGCGACACTCTCTGCTCGTTGATCTGTTTGTTCAGCCACTGGATCACTGGGGGGGGGGGGGGGAATACATAGGGGAGACAGAGTGAGATACAGGGAGACAGAGTGAGATACAGGGAGACAGAGTGAGATACAGGGAGACAGAGTGAGATACAGGGGAGACAGTGAGATACACACACAGGGGAGACACATACACAGGGGAGACAGAGTGAGATACAGGGAGACACATACAGTTGGTAGGAAATTTTGAATTTTGCTCGCATGGCGGCCAAAGCCTACTCTAATATATTTTGGACCACCAAGGGATCTTTAACGTGTGCAACTTGCACACGGGCCCTCCGAGATTTTTCTTCTTTGTCCGAGAAGGCTAGGTGTAGATCTTTCCTACCATAAGATCAGGGGTGTGGCAGAAAGACAGCAGTAAGGAGGAGTCAAGGAGTAGCAGAAGAAAGACTGCAGAAAGAGCCAGGAGCCCAGAAGAGGGGGCAAAGGAGGTGAGTGGGTGGGGGCAGAAAGAGGAGACGAAAGCAGACGACAGAATATTGCTAGAGAGCAGGAAATGAGGTGAAAGGAGACAATTTTAGAGAAGAAAATTTTTCGGTCGCTACCCGTACTCAAACCCGGGTCCTTCGAATGAGAGGCCAACACCTTAACCTCTAGGCCACGAGAGCCCCCTCATTTTTCTACCCGTTTGCATTCAGACCAATCTGACACAAATCAGTTTTTTCTTTACAAATACTCACGACATTGAAGAAAACTTGACATTAAGTCAGAAACAAAGAGATTTCGGAGAATGAATTGTCTGTCTCAAGTTTGACTGAAAAGCATGATGCTACATTGGCCCAATAAAGAAACAAAACAAAGAATTAAGACAATAGATGAACAGGAAAGCGCGCTCATATGACCTTAGCAGTTGCGAGCGCCGTAAAACCTTATACTACTACTACATACTACAGAACAGGAAAGAAATGATACCAGTGAGTAGGAAGCAGGTTTACCTACACATTCCATGTTCTATAACAATGGTCTTAAATCTTTAAAAGTGGAGACAAGATTATTGCTGTATTTGACAAATTGTGATAGACAGAAAGAACTTTTCTATCAAATTAGTAAAGAGTCAGTTAGTTGTAGTCAAGGTTTTACAGTGCTTGCAACTGCATAAGGTCATATGAGCGCCAGAAGATTAGAGGTGTTACAAGAGAGTAACAAACATAAAAAAGAAGAGGGGGAGATAAGGACGATAGATGTTTGATAGGAAAGAAGAAGAAAACCACACCAGAGCACCCGCCAACCACCCACAGTAAAGAGTTAAAAGAAAAGCCCGTAGACACACAGGCATGATTCACAGTGCTGGGGAAAAGGCAAGACAACAGAAGGAGAACACTTGTAGAAATTGAGTAGACAAAACAGTGGCAGCTTTCAACTACCTCGACAGCCTTGGTTGTGATCTATACGAAACGGTTGCGAGTTTTTAGTTTTTGTAAGAGTTTTACAGCACTAGCAACACAATAAGGTCACATAAGTGTAGAAAATTAGAGGTGTTACAAGAGAGTAACAAACACAGAAAAGAAGAAGGAGAGATCAGGACGATTGATGTTTGATAGGAAAGAAAGAGCAGATCACACCAGGGCACCTGCCAACCACCCCCACGGTTGTGATCTGTACAAAAGTGTCTGTACAGGACAAAAACACGTACTATTTTCATTTGTCTTCAGCAGCTTTTTGCTCTCTTCAAGTTTCTGCGTTGCACTTTCCAAGTTTGTTGTTAACTTTTCATTCTGAAAGATAAAAATCAAAATGTACTTCAACTTGAGGTAACAAAATGAGACAGAACAAATTATGGATCTAAAAAAAAAAAGAAAAAAAAAAGTAGCTTCCAAATCTATTACCAGACAACATCAAGGCGATCCACAATTTTAAGGGAATAACTAATAAAAAATATTTAGACTTAGAATATTAATAATAATAATAAATGACATTTCTATAGCGCTCAACCCCGACTAAAGTACACAGGCTCTGAGCGCTTTACAATACAGTACAATAGTTTATAGTAACATAAAACGTTTTGTTTTGACGAAAGAAAATTATTCCAAATATTCATCTTATTGATTCAAAAACAGAAACGACTTCAGCTGACATTTGAATGAATCAAAACAATCAAATATGTTATAAAGAAATAGTTCAACGTGCGTTTTTTGATAGAACAAAATTTTGGACCAGCTACGACTTTTTCGGACTTTTCACCCCGCCATTCAAAAAGAGCTTTAACCACAACAAGGACCATTCTCCAGACACACACACACATTTGTTCGACTTTCCTCCCAACTCTGCCATCTCCACATCCCCTTACCTTGTCCTCAAAATCTCGCAGCTTGTCTTTGGTGACGGCCAGCTCCTGCCTGGTTTTCTCCAGCTCCTGCTCCTTTTCCCCCAACAGTTTCTCCTGCTCTGTGGCGATCTGAGTGCGTAACTTCACCTGCACGGGACCAACCGGTGAAACAGTATTGGTAAAAAAACACATTTATATTTGGAATAGCATGGTGCACTTGCCCTCCAAATTTCACGTTTTTATCTTGAAGGTTTTTGAGTTTTTAGCTTATTAAAGTCAAGAAATGAACATTTCGAGGAAAGGAGCAAAAACATCTCAACATTGCTTTAAAGCGTTGTATTGGCTCACAATGTGACAAACTTTACCCAGCTATCTCTTTGACATAGGACTTAGGGAGTACTTCCATCCAATTGAGCACCTAATTTTCTAGGGAAGTTTCTTAAAAGCCAAAAAACATTGTCTGGACCTAAACTGGATCCCAAAAACCCGTGTGTGGCCTTAATAGAAACAGCACAAAGAATGTACACGTTCCAACACAAGCACACCAGGCCCCCTGAAGCTATTGGAGACAACACTCAATTATGTTCATAAAATGCACGTAAATGCCACAGAAAAAAACACAAACAATGATGTTTGCGACAGGAAAGTTGACACTGAGCAGAGCACTTGTTCATTGAATCATTCTGACGAAACGCCGTTTGCTGATGTTTTAGTAAGAGTTTTACGGCACTTGCAACACAATAGGTCATACAAGTGCCGAAGATTAGAGGTGTTACACGAGAGTAACAAACACAAAAAAGAAGGAGGAGAGATAAGAACGGTAGATGTTTGATAGGAAAGAAGGAGCAAACCCCACCAGAGCACCCGCCAACCACCCACGGTAACCCTGTTACATTTCACTTGGCACATAACATGAAGCTTCTTGTAACACAATGTGGTTCTGTAGAAGACGATATAAGTGAGGCAGCATGGTGGAATCAGGCTCTCGTCAAAATAATCAAAGTGAAGAAACTTGCATTTTTCCGCAGGTTTGTGAATTTTTATCAAATTTTTGTTTTTTGGCTCAACACCTTTCATGCCCATTAAAGAACTAATTTCTGTGTGGATTTTTCTGAAAAGCGTTGATTAAAGGCACAAAAATGTAAATTTTCAATTACCACAGACTCTTAAGCTAAGGAAATAACTAATCTTTTTCGCCATTTCCTCACAAATTTTACCTCTGAAAACAGGTGACCCCCACCTCCTTCTTTCGCAAATATCTCGACTTGTATTCAAGATAAAAGGATATTTTTTCATCCAAATAAAGACAAGTGAATAAGCTTTTAGATGATACCAATAACTCTACATGCCCAAAAATTGACGAGAGCCTGATTCCACCACGCTGCCTCATTTATAGAGGTAAGCCGTCAGATCTAACAGCCTGCATCCTTGCCCGAAGTACGATATGTTTGGCCAGCAAACGTTAGAACACCTGGCCAACGAAAAAGGCTTCGCGTACGACCAAATAGCACGGGCGCCAGCCTCGAGTGAGCCAAGCTAACAAGAAGACGTGACTGAAATTCTCTCGACCGAACCACAGGATTGGGGGCCCCCTATCATCGACAGATGACAGTGACACGGCAAGAACGATTACACAAGGTAGGCCTAAATCTTACAATACCAACCCAGTTAATGCACACCCACAAAATAGTACGGCTGTCTCAGTTTCTACACGTAGATCAAAAGAGGAACATTCCAAACTGACAACATAAATGTTATTGCTCTTATCACAGAGATGCCAAATGATTTTTGAAAAAAAAACTGAAAATGAGCGGAGCATCACATCTCACCTAAACCGAACCTTGTAAAGTTTTAAAATGAGCACACAAAAACATATTCTCTCTTACGAAAGCCGACGATGAAAAATTCCAACGGATGAAAAAAAATAGGAAAAAAAACGGAAAAAGCGGACATTTGGCATCACTGTTATCAAGACGTAGTTTATAGCCAGTTTGGATAAAGACGGCCACATTCTGCACGGAAGGGAGAGTAGGTAGCAGAATATTTAATCAAACCAAGTGAACCTATTTTGACAGTTCTTCTTCAACAGAAAGAACTCCCTGTAAAAGAGACCTGTTTTCGGTTATTGCCCAAAAACTACTTCGATGTCAACGTCGTAAAGGATGTGTCTGAGCCACTGTCAGCGGTTACGACTGCAAGCCGCTGGCAACGGCATGCCGGAGACGAGTAGCCGAGAAGACAACAACATCACACCGTCCCCCCTTCTGGCTGCCGTTGTTTCAACTCTCGGTTCAGTCTGTAACAACAATAAGTCATTATGCTAAAAAATTGAAAATCTAACGATGATTTTTGATCTTCAAAGGAATACCTTGGCATGGTATGACTTGATTTCTCCCTGCAGCTTTTTAATGATTTCATTGCCTTTCTTCAACTCCTCCCCCATAGCCTTGACCTTGTTTTCCAGCCGAGACACTTCTTTTTGTCGCCTTTCGACTTCTGCCTCGGCACGTTTCTGAAGAGAAGAACAAATCCTGTGTGGTAAGTCATGACAAACAGTGAAAACAAAAATGTGAATACTGTCATAGCCATGTCCCGGAATTTTTATTCCATAGATAAGATACATAGAGATAGGACTCCAGATAAGGCAAAGCTAGAATTTCCTCAAAGATAAAATGCAGGAGCTATCTTTCTAAAAGTAGCAAGAAATAGAAGCTGCTTGACTTATTTGTGAGTAGCCGTTTGCAACCTTTCAAGTGCTGACAAGGAATTTTGAGACCAACGCACATTTTCAAGGACAAAAAACCCCCCATAACAACAAAAAGATACAGTCGTTTCATTGGTATTCACTCCCAACAACACTCCCCCACCCAAAAAAAAATAAAAAAAATAAAAAAACCAAACAAACCCAGCAAAACCAAACCAAACAATCCCCACTACAAGAATCAAATCAGGAGGCACCTTTCAGAAAGTTGTGATGAAAAATCATCACAATTGACACATGATTTAAGCCTGCATCAGTTTATTTCAGAAAAAAATCAGAAAACAATATTCTAAAATGTGTTGTAAATAACCAACAAAATACGACTCAAGCCCACATCAGGTCTGATTCTTGGGAGATGCATTCTCTCCCTTCCACTGACCACAAAAAGTCATTAGCTGAAACTGACCATATCTTAATTAACCCTATCGGTACGTCGTGTTTTACTATCATATCCATACGACGTGGGGAACTCTGAGCCATCACTTTCCAAAGAGGAAATTCACTCGTTATCCACACGCTTTGCATAGCAATCTGTCAAAATGATTTTTTGAGAAATACTCAAAAGTTTCAAAGTGATCTTGGCACTAAAAGTATTCTAAAATGTGGAGAATACAACCCCTGGGGGTACAAAATGACCCCAGGGCATAAGGATAGCGTTAAAGAACTTCAGTTAAAGATGACAGCGATCAAGAACTACAAGTACCAGAGAGCTCAAACATTTCTCGTTACCTCTATAGATTGTGAACGGTATAGAGCTTGCTGCTGAACGGGAAATTGCACAACACACATGCTATCTATTACCATTCAGGGCGTGAAGGGTACCCTGAGAACATACAATATCCCACCCAGCCAGGCCATCAAACTTGCTAGAGACAGGAACCTCTTTCTTCCCTCGACACCCTAGAGGTACAAGAGGACGGAGAAAGTAAAGTAAGATCTATTATCATTATTATTATTATTATTATCATTATCGTTATTATTACCTTCTTCTCCTTTTCTGAAGACAACAAATCACTTGACTTTTCCAGCAGCTCTCCTTTGTCTCTCAACTCCTGCTCCAGCACCGCCGCTCGCGTCTGCAAAGCATTGTGGGACTTGTCCATGTCCAGACGCGCGTTGTCCAGACTTGAGTTCTCCTGCCTCGTGCTCTGTAGCTCCGTCTTAAGCCGTCGGTTCTCCTCGTCCAGAACACCCAGCTTCCCCCGACACTCACGGATGGTGGACTCCGACCGGTACTTGCAGTCGGTCAGATCCTGGCAAACACAGAGGAGTGAGCGTTTTGTTTGTTTTAGTAGAGGGTTTTACGGCGCTCGCCACTGCATAAGGTCATATGAGCGCCAAGGGGTGGATGTCAACAGAGAAATCTTTACAGGGAATCAGACTTGCTCTGCTCACCTCTCTAGCCTCAACAGCACAAAGTCTGCTTCGACTATCAAGGCACCCCGGAAATAGCGGGTCACAAGAGCGTGACAAACATACAAAGGAAGTAGAGGAAAAATGACGATAGCAAGGATTACGAAAAAAAAAAGCAGCAGTTCCCTGTTGCAGTTCAGGCACAGTTATGAGCATGACATAGATGAATCAGCCCATTTACAATTACAATTCTACTGTGCATAAGAACTCGAGATGTTAATGTCCCTCCCTTTGGGAACGGCCTAAAGACACTCCAGTCAGTAGCACCGCCCGGGGGGGGGGGTACATAAACAAGTTTCTACCTTTGTGCTGGCCTCCAGCTCCGAGAGTCGCGTCTCCAACTGCTTGACCGTCTTGGCGTGGGTCTGCTCCAGCTCTCGCTTCTCCTTCTCAAACCGCATCTGGAGGCTCGACTGGAACTGAAATAGTCGGAAAAGTTACAAAAATAAGCATATGGGTTTAACACTTTCCACCTCTCTTGTAACACCTCAAATCTTTCTGGCGCTCATATGACCTTATGCAGTTGCGAGCGCCGTAAAACCTCTACTAAAACTAAACAAGAGTGCATGAAGCACAATCTCTCCTCCCTCTTTTTTTCTGTTTGTTTCTCTCTTGTAACATCTCTCATCTTCAACACTTATATATAACCCTATCGTATTGCAAGTAACATAAAACTCTTACTACAACTAACTTTTCCGGACACTGATTGACCATCATGGTGTGTATGTGTTTCTCTGCGTCCCAAAGACATACCTGCATGGCTTTTTCTTTGACAATCATGGTGTATATTTTGTTTTAGTAGAGGTTTTTCGGCACTCACAACTGCGTAAGGTCATATGAGCTCCAAAGGGTGCATGTCAACGGAGAAGTCCTTACAGGGAATCAGACTTAGACTGCTCACCTCTTTAGCTTCAACAGCGCAAAGTCTGCTTCGACTATCAATGCACCCCAGAAATAGCGGGTCACAAGAGTATGACAAACATTAAAAATAGAAGTAGAGAAAAAATGACGATAGTAAGGATGAGGAAAGAAAAAGCAACAGTTCCCTGTTGCAGTTCAGGCACAGTTATGAGCATGACATTGTTAGATCAGCCTATTTACAATTCTACTGCGCATAAGAACAGGTTAATGTCCCCCCACTGGGAATGGCCTAAAGACACTTCAGTCAGTAGCACTGCCCAAGGGGGTTATGGTGTGTATGCGTTTCTCTACATCCCAATGACATACCTGTATGGCCTTTTCTTTCTCCAGGGTCATGTCCTCCTTGTGGCGAGTGGACACTTCCGACAAACGAGACGACCACTCCTGCTTCAGGGACTCCAGCTCAGATGACTTAGACGACAACAGCTATGGACAAAAAAAAAGGAGCGGCGCGTCAGTTTGTTTCTTAAACTCTTTAAACCCTGAGTTTTTTTCAACCGTTTCCTGGAGTTTTTTCTAGTCACCTAAAGCTTAGTTTTAGTTTTAGTAAGAGTTTTACGGCACTTGCAACACAATAAGGTCATATAAGTGTCGAAGATTAGAGGTGTTACAAGAGAGTAACAAACACAAAATAGAAGGAGGGGAGATAAAGACGATAGATGTTCGATAGGAAAGAAGAAGCAAACCACACCAGAGCACCCGCCAACCACCCACCAGGAAACTTTAAACAATGAAAAAGCTTTGAATTCAAACATGGCAGACAGAGGTAAAAACCAGGATTACAAGAAACAGAAAGGGTAGACATACATACTCTGTTGTACAACCAACAACATATGACGCAGTACAGAGTTTCGTACAAAGTAAAAAGGAATCATCATTTGACCCCTGAAAAAACGAACCTGTTGGGTTTCGTGTAGCTTGCCACTTAGATCCTGGGACGTGTGCTCAAACTTCTGCTGAATCACGTTGTAGCTCTCCTGTAACAATGAAGGAATAAACATCACCGTCTTGTAGTGCACTGAGGCGAGAAAGCAAATATGTTACTTTTGAGTTGAGCACAATCATGCCAGCAAAGTCCCACAAAAGCATTAAATATTTGTCTTATGCAGAGTTACGAGTAAGTGAAATAAAAAATAAAAAATTTAATCCTGAAGAAAAGATCGTAATATTGGGCTTCAAATAAGCAAGACAGCAGAAACATTCAAGATATCGATAGAGAAATATCCTATCTGTGCCACGATTCAAACTCCTTCAGAAGGGTGAAACATTTGTCTGCTCTAGGGTAAGAGGTACAGAAGTAATATTGTAATTATACTGGGAATAGATTATAGACCAAGTTCATATTAAGTTCTTGACAAACCAGGGTTTTTATTTGACAGCACTCTACATACTGCAGAAATAAATATTAATTTGAGGTATATCTATATAATTGCAATGTCGTATGTCCATCATAACGAAGGAACTTGTGAATCAGAATGAACAGGCTGGCTCGGGGAATTACTTTGAAGATGTGAGCATCCACAGGGAGGAATGTCTACAAAGAAACACTTTTGACTTTTTAATGGTACTCCTCGCGGCCAGTATTGCATACAGTGGTAAGTCATTATTGGTGGTCTTTGAGACACATCTGTAAGCAATACGGCCCGCGTCCTCCTCCAGGTCAAGGCTAGAACATACAAGGAGAAAGCTTCACATATTTCCAATTTTTAACAACAATCCAAGGAGCCATAGATACCAAAGGTGCCAACTGGCTATGACCCCCCCCCCCCCCCTCCTGACCTTTCAGACCCAATGGAGATGACAATGACAATGACAATCTTTATTCATCTTGCAGGGAGAAATTTGTCTTGGTCGTTAACAATGGCAGTAGACGTTACAAAAGTTAGACTTAAAGGTGCACTCACGCAAACGCACAACAAGACAGGACATTAGGCCAAGTAAATACATGTCTCACGTGCTGGGACAACCCGCTCCGTAAAAACATTCATTCTCTCTCTCTCTCTGTTTCATTTGTAGCACTGTGTGTTCAGTAACCTCACTGCAGTTGGTACGAATGAATTTCTATAGGGGTCTCAAAATTCATGCATTACATTGTCAAATACATCTTGTATCAAGACAATTTTTATCCAAAGTCCCTAAAATTGGGCCAAATCCCAACAATGCCAGAAATCCAGATTTCGAGATACAATGTATCCCAAAAGTCAGCACCCTAGAGTTCCTCCTATTGACAAACCTTGAGCTGTTTGAGACAGGTGACCAGGTGAGTCTTTATGTCGCCATCAGAGCCAGGTAAGAACTTGAGGGACAGATGGTTCAGGTGGCGGAACGGGTTTGTCTCCACGATGTTCATGTTGCACGCGGAGATTGCAGAACCTCCCTCGATGAACTGGAGCACAAATCTGGGGGGGGGGAATACGTACAGTCAATGACATAGTTGAAAAGTTTACGTCGTTTTCGCGACATGTATTATTTTGTTTAGTATGGGGTTCTACGGTGCTCGCAACTGCATAAGGTCATATGAGCGCGCGTGACAAGTAAAATATCAGAATTCTTTTTTCAAAAGGAGAAAAATAATGCAATGGTTCTCTTTCATACACAGATCTGTACTGAGCAACAATATGATATTAATTTCGAAGTTACACTACACTGTCAGGGAAGATAGCAAAGACATTCTGTGAAGAGTGGACAGCATATATATATACATATATATATACACAGTACCGTATATATATATACATATATATACACAGTACTGTTACACGCGATGGCTACATTGACCAACAGTCAAAATAAGACAAGCACTGAAATTCATTTCCGATAAGTGTTCAGAATGCATTTGTTCATAATGAATGATGTGCTCCCAGCGGCCTAAGCAAAGGGTTCACAAATTTAGAACCCCCCCCCCCACCATATGAAAACCGACATGCTATTAAAATCAATGACAAAAGGCATGCTCTCGACAGGGCTTTTCAGTCGGCTGGAGATCATGAAGTCTCCCACATGGAAGTGCATAAGAATGACAGTAAAATTGTCTGAGCATTTGTTTTGCAATTAATCCCAAAGCCTCACAGTCTCCATCTAAGAATAAGATAGGTTAAAAAAATGTAGAATAGCGATCATCCGACTAACTTTGGGTTCTCTTTTTCATCCTCTCGGATGCACATGACCAGCAAGTCGATAACTTTCTGCGGGAACGCCGTGAAGTCTACCAGTAGCCCCTGCTGGATCTTCAGGCTGAGGAGAAGGGAAAAAAATAAGAATAAGACTCCGGGATATCTCACCATTCTGAAAGGTAGGAACCAGGGTCAAATAAAGATCAGTTACACTGCAGGTTGAACAACCACAGATCAGTTACACTGCAGGTTGAACAACCACAGATCAGTTACACTGCAGGTTGAACAACCATGGTTAACTACCCCTGAGATCTAGCAGGGTACCGCAAAGAAAGAAGAAGATTATTTTATAGTTTTAGTTAGTTTTACGGCACTTGTAACACAATTAGGTCATATAAGTGCCGAAGAATAGAGGTGTTACAAGAGAGTAACAAACACAAAAAGGGAAGGGAGATAGTATAAAGACGATATAGGTGTTCGATAGGAAAAAAGAAGCAAACGTCACCAGAACACTCGCCAACCACCCACTTACCTCAGGAACAGAAAGTGCGAGCAGGAAACACGACTCAAAAGGCAACACGTCCCACAGTGGTTCAATTTACTCTGGGATATATATTGCTTATTCAAGCAATACTCAGGATTAAACAAGCAAACAATATCTTTCTTCCCAGTCCCCTTTTACCCTACTAACTTTCTGCAGCACTAAAAGAAGAAATCAGGAAAAGGGAAAAGACGAGAAACTAAAATTTTTACTTGAATTGAGTGTCAAAATCTAGAAAAGCACTCCCAAACCAAATTATCTACTGGGTTTTTTTTTTGGTTTTTTTTTTGGGGGTGGGTGGAATTGAGTAAAGAGAAGCCCATTGACATGAAGAACTGTTACTTACAGCAAGGTGGAAGTGCACGACAAAAAGAACAGAAACAGGAGGCGAGAATAGAAGTAAGATCTATCGGTGGTACTCTCTCTATCCATCCACATTCAGAGCGTATCTGGAAACAAACTTATTTTTAAAAAGTCATCTATAAAAACTGATAGATTTACTTACAAGTCCTAGAAAAGGCATTAAAAAAAAATATTCTGATACTCTCATTTTGGCATTATAATACAAAGTTAACAAAGTCAATTTCCACGTAGTGGAACACGTCTGTTGACTATCTCTAGCCCAGCCCCGACACACACAGGAGCACTCACCTCTGGAAGTCTTCCTCAGCCAGGTGCAAAGTGTAGAGGAAGTACAAATCTTGGTCGTTGGTCAGTTTGACCACAAGTTCCTTGTCAAACAAAAATAAAGCGTTGGTTAAAGGTACGAAAAGTAAACTTCAAAGAATTTCTATGGTACACCAATTGAACTAATTGCGTAAAATTCAATTATTAGAGGGCAAAAAGAGCTCCCAAAGCTCAATAGTAAGTGTTCTGAAAATTGTTACATTTTATAGTAGACAGAAAAACTAAAAAACCCCAAACATATTGACACATTCATTTTCAGTGATGTTGCCACTGAGCTTTCAGTGAGATACACTGCATCAGAAACATACTTTTCATTAACTGCACCTTCTGAGACCACGGCTAAAATAGTGACCATCACATCCGACAAATTGGCAGGGCTTGACTTTCATTTTGGACACATTGATCAGCCATCCCCCAAAAAAGCAAGACCAGACAGGACAATTATATTATTTCCGTCATTCAAGTCAGAATTACACCAAGACCATTGCATATATACAGCTTTGGCAGTTACTGAGTCTGAAAGAGCAATCATTAGGCTATATAATAATAATATATAAATATGGATAATTAAAGAATTATTACATAAAGTTGATTTTGGACCTCATTTGTCACACCCAGGTATCCCACCTTTTGGCAAATTTCTATAAGCATTTTAGATTTGTCTTTGTACCTTTTTCACTTTCTCAATAAGCTGAGGGTCAGTTTCAGGCAAGAAACATTTTCTTCTTCTTGTTGCCACATCGAACGTGTAAGACTGACCTAAAACTAGGCACATGCGGAAAACAGAGCAGATCATGGCAGATGGAACAGTTACATGGTCTCAAACTGAGAACACAGGGTGAAAGTAAGCTCTGCCCAAATGGACACCTCTGAGATTCTTTATTATGATGTCTTACAAATTTAAAAGCTTCTCCAAAACACACACACTTCATTATAGAAAAACCTGTCAACATGCTGTGCACAACAAGTAAAAAAAACTCAGAAAGGTGTGAGAAAGGTACGCCTACATGCTCACCTATTTCCGTGGCACAAACCACACAACATTTATATGATCTCCATCACGGTCCACTTTCGGGGCATAAAATCCAAGAGAATGGCCAAATTTACTCTCGCTGACTGTCCATTCCATCCCCCCCTCCCACCACCATTCCTCCTCGCCACACACATTCAACAAAAATACAAAACCCACCTTTTTCGAGTCATGTCTGCTGTCATAGCCCATCTGTACCCTGACATTTGCCTTCCTGAAAAAAGAAATCAGTTAATACAGTCAGTCAGGAAAGAAAATTAACATCAATTTAAGAAGACACACATAATTAATACAATCTACAATGTCAGTCTCATTTCAAATCTAAAATTAAAAAACATCACAATCCTCTGCCTCTAGCTTACTTGATTACATTTTCTTCTCCATTTTCAACCTGGCAGATGACTAAAAAGAGTATTATATACAAAAATGAAAGAAATGATTAT